TATAGTATTGGCTAAATGAAGGAGACCAGAATGAATGGTAGAAATTTGGAATTGGCCAGAATAATCTTATTGTGATTGGCTCGCTTAGAATTAACTATATGATTTATTTATGCAGTATTGGCTAACAAATTGGATTAACATCCTGGGAATATATCTTATGAGCTTTAACTAAATCTTTTTTAATGACCTAAACTTCAGCTATTTTATATCGCGATACTATCAAAATGGAGACTAGCGATGTAGTTTCGAAGGCTTGGATTTAATTGAGATCATAAGTGTTTGTGTGCTATAAAATGCGAATACATCAAAATGAGAGAAGAGTATAACTCTCTAACTAACCTTGCACTGGTTAACTACTATTACCTTTTATTTGACAACAATACTTCCTATGAAAACGATTCCTTAGAAATATGATAGATATGATAGAAGAGCCTCCTCGGCCTCATCGTCGTGATGCAATGGCTTTGTCTCAATTGATCATCAATTTAGTTGGAATTTTTGGAAACCTTATCATGATATTTGTGCTCTGGCATCGATCTATGGGAGGGAGATTACCTACCATACTCTTTCTCTCCCAAGCGGCAACAGACCTGTGCGTTAACTTGCATTCCTTCTGCTTTAGCATTCAACCTGCTATGTGGCGTGTTCATGTGCTCTGGTTAGATGCCTTTATCTGCAAGACATGGCACAGTCTTTTTACCTTCTGGTTTTGTGTACAGGTCTCGATCGGCAGCCTAGTTCTTATTGGCCTTGAACGCTATTTTGCTTTGGTGCATCCAATGCTTTACCAGCGTTTTCAGTCTAGACGTTTAGCAGCCTTCCTAATTTCGGGAAATTCTATATACAACTTTTTTCTTGCGATTCCAAACATCTATGAAACAACTACAGACATAAATGGAACATGTGTAAGTCAGAATTATGATGCTGCTACAACAACCTTACTTAAAGTATATTCAATTGTGTGGTTTATATTTATATACACACTAGCCCTTGTATTGCTTATTTTTTTCTACACTGGAGTTATACTTTCTTTAAGAAAATCAGCACAACTTACTCCAGTGCCAGTCTCGCTAGTATCAATTATCAGTCTTAACCGAGAAGGTAACTTGGCTGAATCAACAGGAGCTGTGACAATAAAGCGAAGTCAAGTCACTATGCAGTTTACACGAATGGCAATTGTAATTACTTTGGTCTACTTAATCTGTATCACTTACGATGCATTTTCTTATCTACTCGGTAGAACGGGTGTAACTCGATATGACTACAATACCCTTCCTCACCAGCTCGGCATGCTGGCTGTGTCGGTGAACTCCTGTGCTAATCCAATTATATACTTTGGATTTGTGGTCAAGGCTTCATTTGTACGTTGGTTGGTTGGGCTGCGACAAAGGCGTAAAAGCATGGACAAAAAGATTCCAATGCCGAGGAGGTATAGAAGAACAAATGCTAGTCTCCTTATCCCCTCATTTTCAGAAAGTGTCTGTTATTTAAAACAAAACCCTGAATAGAATCCAATAGTAAATATGTACGAGCATCACATGAAAAATAATATCTATCCAATTTTATTGTGTACTCGTTCACTGTATTTGTCTGCTGTAAACCAATGGAATAATATAGCAGAAATTAGCATTAATTATGTACAAATATTTAATTTTTCATATATATTATTAATGCCTTATGCTTTTTTCTTAAACAGGAATAATATAAATCAATATTGTCGATTAAGAGACAAAAACATAAAAACAAATCGTGTTAAACTAAAAATTTAGTAACTATGATTACCTTAGATTTTATCGTATTCTCCTTTATTTCTATTAAGCCGATATGACAGTTTTCGCAATTCGGTCGAGGCGGCAAGGTAACTTTGTGGAACGTATTCAATCTTGCATCCTCTGTCGTAGTGGCCATGAGAATTTTCGCCATAGAACCGTTGGCTTCGTATTTTCCCAAAGGTTTCGCTTGCATCGTAATCGGCATGGTCAGTAAGAGGCGCCATCCTTAGCACAGAGTTAAACTAAAGAGTGAAGGAAATCTTCAGAACCAATATACCGTTCAACCATTTGCACCATTATCCTCCTTTTTACCCTGGCTTCTGATGCTGCATCCTCTTTCATAAATCCCAATCCAAATGGGTAACGTTTAAACTTACAACTCTCGGTACCTTTGCATGTGC